CCCACACTGGCATCATCCTTCCAAACTGCCAATTTGTCTTCTGAGGCCAAGCCTAATCAACCATACACAAGCCTTTTGTCACTTTCCCACCCCACCACAAACAGCCCCCACCCCAACCCACACTAATATCGACATCCCAGGAGTCTTTTGTTGAGGTAGGCTAAATCCAACTGAAATGCAATCTAGTTTTTGTTTCCTTTGTGGCTTGTTCTATACCTGCCACCTCCTGTGACCAGCAATTTGTAACACAGCCTTTTAGGGTAATTCGACACTGCAACCTAAGATGCTTGTCTCTCTCACTGCCCTTGGCTGTTTCATAAACCATCTTCAGAAACTCCAGTCTGACAGTGGTGAGTTAGCAATGATACTCAGTCTGGACTTTGGCCACCACAGGACCTACTTGGCCTGCCCTACTTTCTCACCCTTCCCAAAGGTAGGCTAGGGCATGGCAGGGTGGAACAAGGTAGGGTGAGGTAAAGTAGGGTAGGGAAAGGTAAGGTAAGGTAAGGTAAGGCTGGGTAGGGTAGGGCAAGTGGGGTAAGATAAAGTAGGCTAGGCTAAGGTAAGATAGGATAAGGTTAGATAGGGTAGGGCAAGGCAGAGTAGTGTAGTGTAGGGTAAGGTAGGGTAGCCTATGCTAGGCTACCCTATGCTAGGCTAAGGTAAGTTAGGGTAGGCAAGGCTGGGGTTCTTGTGGCCCTCCAGCTGCCAATGAAGCTGCTGGAAGACTTGGACATTGAGGAGGTTGGGGAGGAACTTGGGCCAGTCCTGGAGTCTGGGGAAGGCTCTGATGGATGGTCTGTGTCGGAAGCAGAGATAGAGTCAGGGCCATCTGACATTTCCAAGCTGCCTTCAGAATCGGAGATAAGTGGGGAAGAACAACAGCTGGGNAAACAAATAATTGCCACAACACTGTCAAATTATTTACTAAGACTGTATTACTACCACTCTTATCATCCTTCCTGTTACCTATATCCTCCTACTTATGACTACAACTTTGCTGCAATAAATTTATATTGCTTTATTTAGTTTCCTAGTATGGTTTGATTGCTTATTTAGTATCCTATGAATATCGCTAAGTGTTGTGCCTTATGATTCTTGATAAATGTATTTTTATGTACACTGAGAGTATATGCACTGAAGACAAATTCCTTGTATATCCTATCACACTTGGCCAATAAAGAATTCTATTCTATTCTTTTCTTTTCTATTCTGTTCTGTTCCATTCCGTTCCGTTCCGTTCCATTCCATTCCATTGAGTGGGATTAGTTCTGTGCCCTAATCAGGTCTTCAACAATAAAATAGGCAAGGAAAGAGAGTAAACTCGATGAAAAAAGATGGATTGGAAAGAGAGAAGACCACAGACAGAGAAGAAATTGAAGCAAAGCAAATAAGAGATTTTAGCCTTCTTCGTAGAGCCTGAACACAGGAGTGGAACGAATCCAATTCACCAAAGATGTTCGATTTGAAGCTTGTTATTCATCAAATCAACCACCATTTCAGAAGTATAGCTTGACACACTTATAGCATTAAATTCTGATTTCTTGAAGCCTTCATCATCATTAAGTATCCAAGTTAAGATAGGTGATAAATAAACACACAATCAGCCTCTGTTATGGAATGTCCTACAATCTGTATAATGCTGTTTGGGCCTCTTTATGTATTAAAATAAAATTTAAAAAAATATAATAACATGATGCAAAATTTAGAAGAGAGATCTTCTGCTCTCTTGAGTAAAACATTAAACCCAGAGGTAGCAAGATCATAACTAAAATGATCAATCTCATGCTTTCAAATGACTCTGTTGATTCCATCCTGGGGCATATCTTTTTTCTGCATCTCAACCTCTCTGGATAACTAGATTACAAGTGAAGTGCAGGCTGGAAAACCTATATGTGGGACAAGACAAGACAAAATCGCAAGTGATGGATCACCATAAGCATTTTTAGTTAAGAATAATCCTTCCAATCCTTGAAATAACCACGTGTCATGGTCATATGCACCATCAAAGCTGACACAGTAGAGTATAGAAAAACTCAAAAGAAGTAATGCAAGATCAGAAGATGTGGAGAGACCTGGCCCCATAAAATTACCAAGAATGCTTATGGTGA